TCTCTCTCTCTCTCTCTCTCTCTCTCTCTCTCTCTCTCTCTCTCTGCATCCAGCTGTCTCTTCTTCTTTCTATCTCCTTGTTTATGGAAGAACAAATCTATATCCCCTTCATTTGTTTCTGAGTGCCAACCTATCTGGTGTTTAAGCTTCTTACTACTGCTATTATCACTATTGCTGTTGTTGGGTTTTGTTTTGTTTAGAAAAAGGGTCTCATTTAGCCCAGGTTGACCTCACATTCTCTTTGTAGCCCAGGATGACCATGACCTTGAACCTTTGTTCCTTCTGCCTCTACCTCTTGAGTGCTAGAATGACAGGATTAAATGCACCTCCACTGTTGCTGGGAATCAAATCCAGGACTTTGTGTGTGCTAGAAAAGTTCTCTGTCAACCGAGCTACATCCCAGCCCCATAAAAAAAAATCTGTACAAATGTGTGGTTAAAGTAAAGACTGAGGTAGCAATAGGGATACAAGGACCAAACAATCCCAGATGCCTCTGCTTCGAGGTGTCCCCAAGCCCTTCCTATCTGATGGCTCTCCAGGAGGCTGTGGTACTAGACAAGCGGATCCAGAGTGGATTTGACCCCAAGGCCCAGAGAAATAGCTTGGGCTGACCCTGAACGCTCCCTAAGGAGAATTGGCATGGGAGAAACACAGGCCTTGACTTTAATCTCAGCATCCCCACCCCAACCAGAGGAATGCTTCCAGAACACACTTTTACCATGTCACTTCTTTGCCTAAGCCTTACTCTGGCTCTCACTGACACGGGGAAATGTCAGAGCAGCGCTGTTTGGAGTCTGAGCTCTGTCCCTGAGCCCTTGGGTTCTGCAGATCCTCTTTTCCCTAGGGCTTCACATCCGCTCCTCCACTTCAAACCTCAGTCCTTAAGCCTCCAGGCGAGCTCCTACTCACCCTACAGGTACCACTTGCTTTTCTCCTTCACGCATGCATCCCCCTACACTGATGGCCCCATTTCTTCTCCCTGAATAGTATCAGCTTCACATCAAGCCCCACTCTTCAAGACAAGACTGTCTTCCTAACTCCTGTCCCCCCCCCCACTGGAACATGACCTCCTGCAAGACAGACAGATGCTGAGCCCAGAACAGGGTCTGCCATACACTGGATGCTTGGTTAAATGTTGAATGTCTGAATGGATGTCACTCTAATAAAACATCAGTGTTTTAATATCAGTTACTACCTACCTGATGGTTCTTTGGAGTCCATTATCTGGGACCAGAATTCCAGAGAGGAAACAAAAGCCCAGTGATCAGATGGGCAGGAAGATACAGCCTATAATGTCACACTGTCCTTGAGGTTCAAGTAAGGTGTTGCCCTTCCAGAAGTCCTTACACACACACATGTGTACACACACACATACACACACATACTTGCATGTACACACAGAAGCATTCACCCATGCACACATGCACACAAGCAGACACAAAGGCATGCACACACTCATTCACGCATGCACACACACAGACACACAGACACACACACATAGAGGCACACACACACATACTTGCACGTACACCCAGAGGCATGCATCCATGCACACATGCATGCAGGCACAAACATAGTCATGCAGACACTCATGCAGACACACACACATAGGCATGTGTACACACACACATGGACACATTGACATGTGCACACACACACACAGAGGCATGCATGCATACTCACACAGAGAGAGAGAGATGCACCCATGCACACATGCACACACATGCATGCATATTTGCACACACACATAGAGGCATGCACACATGCATGCATGCATGCATACACATACCCACCATCCTCCTTGAGTTCTCAGCAAAGCTTCACTGTCACTTTCAAATTCTCTATGGTAGTTGGAAAAATCACAGAATTTAGGGTCTGGGTAAATAAAATATGATCAAGAAAAAGTATGAATGTCTTTTTTTTTTAAGCCTCTGGCTGTCCATGACAGTTATTCCTGTCTATCAATAAAGAGAACTGACCCTCAGGAGCCACACCTGCAGGTGAACAGAATGTCATCGATCTGGTTGGGTTGTAGTGAATTTACATGGAAAGTGTTTGTCAGGTGATGGGAACACTTTGTGGACAGGTCTCCCACTGAGAGCCATGGCTAGCCAGGGTGGCCTTGGCTACAAGGGACAGGAACCAATGTGGCTCAAGAGCAGAAGGAACGATGTGGCCAAGACACTAATGCCTCCGTCCTCCCTCTTTCCTTCCTCTCCTTCTCTCTCCTCTGTCTTCCCTCCCCTTCCCTTTTTCTCCTTCCTCTCCCCCTCTCTCCCTAACATCCCCCCTTCCCTCCCACCTTGTCCCCTCTCACTGCCTGGGATTCCTTCTCTCTGAAATGAGCAGCTCCTGTCCACTCAGGAAAGAGGCCACACCCACAGGTCCACATACAGATTGTCTGACAGGTGTGAGGTAGTCACATGCCTTTGCCTAAACAAGCCTAATTGCTTGATCAATGGCCCAGCGGACCTGTTGACCTCTGAGGCTTAGGGCAAAGGTCTAAAAGGGATCTTTGGTGACAAAGGGTCTCACCACTTGAAGGGAAGATGAGGCTACCAACCTCAGGCTGCGGCTCTCTGGGTCCATAGCACCCAGCAT